GTCGTTGGAAAGTTGGACAGTCAGGCCACGACTCAGCCCCTAGCCTGCCTCACCTCCCAGCAGCCCCTCAGCACCTTGTCCCCTGGTGTCCCTGTACTTCAGGACTCTCTCCTGCATATTCATGTCGGAGCCACAGTGTTGATCCGCACTTCCCCACTGTCAGCTCTGGCTGCACCTCAGGTGGCAGCCAGGTCCCCCAGAGCGGCTGCAGAGGCCTGGAGGAGAGTCCCCAGCCAGCCTGCTCTCCTGATAGGGCTACAGCTTCTGTGAAAAGGGCGGCTGGCTGGCAGCAGGCAGGCAGTGGGCTCTTGCTCATTCTCTGGTTGTTTCTCAGCACTGAGGCCGCGTCCTGGATGTCCCAGGATCACAGCGGACCTCAGAACCCCATCACCGCCATTCCAGAATTTCAGTCCAGAGTCGGGCAGAGCTCATCTCCTAGTTGGGGGCAAACATAACACCGTTCAGTAAGTCTAGATAGTCTCCCACGTCTTAGGCCCCTGAGTGGCACGGGAGAAGTGCTACTCACCCAGTGGGAACCTCGCCAACTCTCCAACGGCGCCACTCTCCGGTAGCATACCAGGTCCATGGCAGGAGAGACAGAGGGCAGGGCCCTGCCCTTCAGCTTTGGGCAGCTGTGAGCATGGCACAGGGGAGGGCAGCAGGTGGAACAGCAGGGGCAAGGATGGCCTGGTGGTCACGTGTCCCCCTCTCTGGCTGGAAGAGGCCACCCTGCATCTTCACCTTCCCCAACTGTGGCTGCGGCTGCTGGTTTGCCTTTGTCTCCAAAATCGCCATGCTCGGGGCCACGTCTCTCATCATCTCCAAAAGCACCGTTAAGAACAAGCGATTTGGGATGATGGATTTTTGATTTACAAACGATGCATTTCCCTCGGAGTGGAACAGAAAGGAAACCATTTAATGCTCCCTTATTTTCAAGCATGAATACATTTTAATGAAACTATTTTATTGTATTTGAGGAAATGGAGAGTTGAACATTCCAACCAATCAATAGCCAATTAATTACTTTAAAGCTAAAAAAGAAAATAAATAAATCCTGAGTCTATTTTAAACACCCTGCAAAGCTCAGAGCCTCAGAATCTGGCCTTCCCCTGTAGAACGTGCACACATGAGTGTGTGCAGCCCATGCACACGCACGCACACATCCCTACATCTCAGACATACTTGGAACTCCAAGCGCTGAATCTCCTTCTGCCGATTCTTGCCTGCTCTCCTCGCCTTTGGTCAGAGAAGGTGAGCAGACCTGGCAGCAGCCTGTCCTGCGGCTCGGGGAGGCAGACCCATCCCTGGGCCCTGAGACACCAGCAAGCATAGCAGGCAGCAGTGAGGGCCTGGCCTTGCCTGGGCTCTGCTTCCTGACCTCCAAGATCAGGCTGAGGATGGGATTCTGACTCTGGCTTTGCCCGGACTCCTGCTGGAAGACGCTGCCCTGGTTTTTCACCCTCTAGTGGCCTTTGGACATTGAGTATTTGTAGAAATGCAGATTACATTGCAAATGGAACTCTTTGCCAGGAAGACACATGGATTTTGCTTTTCATTCTTTAAGACAGGTGACCTTGTCTTAGGGACTTATCTTCCAGCATCAAAGAAATCCATATCTACTGTATCGGCCAAAGTTTGTGATGCCTGCATAAATGCTTACTTGTAAAAAATAAATAAAATTTAAAAATTAAAAAATTAAAAAATCAACAAAAACCCCAGAAACCACAATTGAATTGCCTTTGAAAGTGGGAGATGATCTGTCTCCAACAGATGGAAAAAAAAATGCTTCTTAAAAATGTGTATGTTTTGTATTCTTTTTTTCTAGTAGAAAATAACTGACTTGAAATATTGGTGTTTTTTTTTTTTTCTTAGTGACGTGTGTTGCTTTTGTGTGTAATAATATTTGAATGTAATTACAGCAATGCCAATTTGTCAAAGATGTTGGACATATTTTTCTTTTGTCAGGAGGAGGGCAGGGGCTGAGGGTGTCTTTTGTCGGGAGGAGGGCAGGGGCTGAGGGTGGGACTTGGGAAAAAACTGGGGTGGGGTTTCAGTTGAATTTTTTAAAGTTTTTTTTTTCTTGTCGAACCTGGAATTTGTGGTTTTATTTTAAGTTAAATGGTTGACTGCAACACCTTTATTTTAGATTAGCTGGAGAAACATGCAATAAGATTGGCGTAGTTTCAATATCTGTGTGTCTTTTCATGAGTGGCTGTTACTTGTGAAGAATTGATTTTATGTAACCTTTATGTGAAATAATTATTTGTAAATATTTGCCATAATTTTATTGGTTCATAAAATAAAAGTAATTTTTTAAGTTCAGAAAAAGAATTTTTTCTCATTTGTTTTCACTAGTTTGTTGATGGTCTCCCACAACTTTGCCCAAATCGTGTGAAGTTGTGGGGAATTTAATGGCTCTCCTGATTAAATTGGGGTCACGGTAAATCCATACATGCAGCAAGAAGTTCTGCAACATTGCCTTCTGGCCTAGGCAGGGTGTGGAAGGAGCACGTCTGTCCTCAACAGGTCCCCAGGCAAGCTGCCAGCCAGCGTGGCGGGGGGGGTGACAACTAAGGTCCCATCCTGGATTTGACTCCTACCTGTGAAACTCACTAGCTCCGAATCCTTGGCCAAGTTCATTAATCTTAACTGATCAGAAATACCCATGCCATTCATTCATTCAACATTACCTATTGACACCTACTTGGGCCCTGGCACTGGGGTTTCAGCAGTGAACAGGGCAAACAAGGACCCTGCTTGTTTCAGGCTTATAATCTATGGGTTGTTGCAAGGCTTAAGTTGACAGCTGGAAATGCTAGTAAATGGTGTGTCCACGCACACAACCTCGTAACTTTGATCTACCCAGAAACGCCTAGAACCTAAAGTGACCTGGTACTGCCACATGTCCCTAATGCGCAGACAGAGCTCAGAAACACTCATGCAGACCTCATCTTTGGACCCCAGGGCCACAGGGAGTATCTAGCCAGAGCTTAGAACTGAAAGATGCACAATCCTTCCGTGGGAGACGCCCTGTCCCTATGCTTGGAGAACTGAGCATTGTGGCTGCACGGGAATCCCAGAGGTGGCTTTTCATTAGAGGACAGGGCAGCTGCAAACCTGAGCCCTGCCCCTGCCGGGGGATGTCAGGCAACAAGGGCAGGCAGGGACCGCTGTGCCCCCTGGCACAGTGTGTGCAACTCAGTAATTGCCAGAGATGGAGTGGGCAAGTGACCGCGAGGGGGCCATGGACTGCGACTCATTCATATTTAATAAAGCAAGCTGCACGGCCTCCATTCATTTCTGCAATGGATGATGACGAAGGTGATTCCTGGGGGAGAGCGAGCGAGCCCCGGCAGAGCCCAGGTCCTTCTCCTTTCTTTCTGATGCTCCTGACTAGGAGCACAAACTTCAAAGAGAAACAGTCTTTATTCTTTCATTTAAAATTTTAATTAATTAATTATTATGACGATGATGATTATTTAAATTTGCTATAGGGCATGGCACTCATCAGAGAGATGAGAGAAAGAGAAAGGGAAAGTGAGAAAGCAA